CTTGAGAAATGCTGACCGTGTTCTTCCCTTTTGGTTTTCTAACTCTAAATCTTTGCATATTTTATTATAGTATTTGGCTTTATCTTCTTGAGGTGATCTTTGAAATTTTCTGTTCAGCTCTTGGACCTCTTCAAATAGCTTTCTTAGGTATTGCCAAATTTTCATCAGAAAGGTTACCAGTTTGCAGTCCGACCAGGGATATATGAAAGTGCTAATTTTCCCAAAGCCTCATCAACAAAATGTATTGTCATATTAAATGTATTCTCATAATAAAAATTTGTTTTCCAGTCTCACAGGTAAGAAATAGTATCTCAGTGATGTTTCTAATATACAATTTTGAATGTTTTTATCAGATGTTTGAAGGCAATTTAAATTTTTTTTCATGAATTGTTCATGTGTTTTCCCCATTTTTCTACATGGTGTTTCATTCTATGTCCCTTAATTTTAAGAGTTCTCTATATAACAGGGATATTAGCCATTTTTTGGTACAAATATTTTCTCAGTTTGTTGTCTTCTGGCATTGCTTATTAGTTTTTTCATCATGCAAGATTTGTTTTAATGTTTATGTAGTAAAAGTTATCAATCTCTTTTTAAAAAACTGCCTCTGGTATCCAAATCATAGTTAGAAAGTTTTTGTCTACAGGAAGGTTAAAGGGGAATTTATCAGTGTTTTCCTTTAACACCTGTATAGTTTTATTTTTCTAATTTACATTCCTAATTCATTTGGAGTTCATTCTCATGTATGGTATAAGATATTGATCTATTTTTACTCTTTTAAAAATGACTATCCAGTTGTCCTCACACCTTTTATTAAAAAAGTATATCTTTAATCCCAGTGACTGGAGAAGCTATCTTTGTTTTACTAAATTTCCATGTGCATTTTGTTCTGATCAAGACTTTCTATTCCACTGATCTATTTGTTTATTCATGTGACAGTACCAATCTGTTTTAAATATCAAGACTTTATTTGTAAGAAATTTTATAGAAGCATTTTTTTCCCAAGAACAAGTATAGGGTGGCTATAGACCATACCTGCATTTTACAGTGTTCCAGTTGTTCTTTCAGATTAGACTTTTCTTGTTCCCATTCCACAAATGTACTAGGTCCCGGCTCTTTTTCTTTCTGGCACAGCATTTCTGCCAGACGTTGATTAAGTTTTTGCAACTCTTCCTGATTTTGAGAGTTCTTTTGGCTAAGTTCTGTATTTTCCAAATCCAACTGTTGGTTTTTGACTTTTAATTCTGAAATCTAATTTAAAATGGAAATAAGTTTTAAAAACTGGTTACTCTACTTCTGCTAAAACACAGATTTAAAGACTATTTGTTTTTTCCACTCTCTGTGTAGATAGCTTTAATAACAGGAATACTAAATGCTCATTAATACAAATTCAGTTAATTTGGAAGTGCAGGAAGAAGTATTAACACTCAGTTCAATTCCACCCCACAAAGGTATTATCCACTGTTTATAGATGCACACCTATCCCTCCAAATACTTTTCTCTGCATATATAAAAACACACACATATATATATATATTTCTTTTTAACAAAACTTAATTTTTTTCATGCTTGGGCAGTCTGCTTTATTCACTTACAATACTTTATAGATGCTTTTCTTTCAGTATATTTAGGTACCACTAAAGGAGCTCTGGTAATATAGTGGTTACGAATTGGGCTGCTAACCTCAAGGTCAGCAGTTCAAAACTACCAGTGGTTCCATGGGAGAAAGATGAGGCGTTCTGATCCCGTAAAGATTTACAGCCTTGGAAACCCTGTGCAAGGTCACTATGAGTCAGAACTGACTCCATGGTACTTAACAACAACAACAATATTTTTTAAAAAATGGTCACACAGGAAGTATTCCACTGTATCAATATGCTCCATAATCCATTTCTACATCGACAAACATATAGGTCTGTTATTTTTTTATAGTATGAATAAACAAAATTAATAATTTGGAAAATACCTCTGCACATGGTAACATTTTGTTTTTAGAATCATTTCTTAGAAGTGAGATTGCTAGGTTAGAAGATGTGCACATATAATTTTGATAGATACTGCCAAAATATCTTTCCCACAAGTGACACCAAGTTATAATCTATCAACAGTGTAAGAATTCAGTCTTCCTCAGATCCTTGTGAACACTGGAAGATACCAATCTTTATTTTCTTTTGCCAATTTGATAAGTGAAAAATAGAGACTCATTTAATTTGCACTTCCTCAAACATTAATGAGAATCATCTTTTTACATATTTTTTTTCTGACAGGATTGACTATTCATTGTCATTTTCCATTTTTCAATTAAGTTTGCCACTTATTTGTTAAGAACACACAATATATTTTGATGTTAACAAGTATCAAGTATTGAAAATACTCTTTTTTTCCCCAGTATGTCTTTGGCCTTTTTAGATTTCAGGCACCCACATACATGGCATTCCCATGAGATTATCAATTTGCATGCTGAATGACATAAACTGCCTGAATAAATGATTCTGTGAATTTATACACTGATTCACTAGCTCTAGATCTGTGAGAGTCTACCCTTAACTTTCTGTTTTCAGTCATGTTGAAGAAAGGAAAAGGAATTGACATCTATTGGATGGTGACTCACAGGAGAGAAGTGAGATTAACCCTTGAGACATCTTATTTCTAAGACTGTGTGTGATCTTTCTACTCTTCTACCAAATCACATGAGGTATAGAGCCAGTATTTCATCAATAGGGTTCAGAGTATAGCCCCTATCTCCTAGTTTTAAAGCATGAGCTAGGCACTTAGGATCTAGAAATAACATATACATAATTTAATAAAAAACCAGAAACCTAGTTTAGAGTCAGCATGAGATGAATTTCTGTTTTCAAACGATCATGTACGTGCTGGATGTTATTCTGGTAGCATGTTCTGTAAATTTGTAAATTTCAAATAAATACATTTTAGAATCTAGAAACAATGGGAAATATTAAATATCTCACCTGTTTCTTTAAAATTTCAACCATGTTCTGAATTACATCTTTTTCCTTTTTTACAGTTTCTATTTTTTTCCTGAAGGACAATAAAAATATAACTTAGGGTTAGACTTTAAAAGTTGAAGTATAACTGTCTTAGTTCTTGCAAAAACCTCTTAAGAAAATTTTAGTATGTCTTACCACATTTCCTCCTGAGATCCATTTAATTTATCTAATTTCAGGTTAGAAATGCTATCGTCTTCATTTAGGCTAGTAATTTCATTTCTCAAAATAGAATTTTCCTCTTGAAGTTTCTCAGATTCGTATCTGAAGTACACAGATTAAAAAAAAAAAAAACGTTAACAGGACATCTGGCATCTCTGAAAAATAGTTCCCAGTGACTTCCAATAAAGCAAGTACTCCACGCCAGTTAAAAAGAAAAGTCTAAATTAGTAGTTTCTTAGTACTTGGAAATCAGTCTGTGACATATTGACTCATTTCATTTGGGAAGTAAGAATTTCGTTAAAAGACGTTAGGCAAGAATAGCTGAGAAACTTGAGCATGGAGACAGGAATGCCCATTCTGGTTACTGGTTTTCTCAATGGCAAGCATACAGCTTTGAGTAAATGACTTCATTTATTTTAGTCTCAAGTCCTACCTATTGCAAATTGCCATAAGCCACATTACTACACATTACAGAGATTTATTAGCTTTGATTTTAGAGCCAAAGGTACCTAGAAAAAGACATTTTACTACATAAATCAAAGGCCACATTGAAATATGTACACTAATCAGTACCTTGTAATTTTTTTCATTTTATTATCTTTTTATATCTAAATGGTCTGAAGCATGAGGAAGAAAAATTACATTTAGAATGAAAATAGTGTTTTATATAGTTAAGATATTTCAGACATGCGGTAATATTTTACAAGTTTTTTAAAAACAAAATGTTCTAGAAGACTAATGCAATCGTATTTTATAGTCAAGTGGTTCAAATTAATTTTATTTTGTATTTATTCTTCAAGCATGTTTATTAGAGTCTGGAAGTTCCTCAATGAAATGATATACTGTAAGATAAATGTCCACTGTTTTGCAGGATGGGTATCAAGCATGTACTTTAAGTGATGTAAGTGAAAAATTACAAGCCTCAAAACACAACATTTTTCCTGTAGTAGTATAAGAGTTCTTGTCTACCAACTGAGTTAATAATACACAAAAGGCACCCACTTTTCATACAACAAATTTCAGCAAAATGAGAAAAATAAATGATGTTTAGCTAAAAGAAATATCTACTCATCCAAATGAAGCAAGTGCTAGAAGAGAGTTAAATAGTTGACATGCATTGATGATGCATACAGTTACACAGCAAACACTTGCCATTATGAACTTCACATTCCAGAATAACATTTATTTCCTACAGAGGAAGGGACTGCCTCCTAGGCAAGGTTATTCTACTTGTTAATACGCCATAGAAGCAGAAGGGAGTCTACAGGATTGCATTCTTCTTGAAGACTAGCAGGTTAGTTCTCTAGGCTCAGCAAGCAGCAGAAGTTGTTAGATTTTGGTGTTCGTGGGATTCTGTGAATCTTAGAAGGTACATACATTACCTCAGAAGTTCAACTTTTCGCTGCATTTCACTGCACGTGCTTTGTAAGTCATGCATCATTGACTTCAGCTCTTCTTCCTTTTCTCCTTGAGAAGGTGTGTCTTTTTGCTTAACTAAGGTAGTGACTCTCTCTCTCAACTTTCGAGTCAGTTCCTGTAGCTTTTTTTTCTCAAGCTCTAACTCTGCTATTGTAGCTTGACGCTGAAAGTGTTTGTCTTGAAGGCCTATAAGGCCTGTATTTTCTTCCAGTATAACCTGATTCTGTATTTTTGGCTTTTCTTGATGTGTCTGAATTGTTCCTTGTAACCAAGCAACTTCATGCGATTTTACTTTTTCCAGGAGTTGTATATTGCCCTGATCAAAGTATTGGTGTTCTTGTTTATGTTCTTCAATATGTTGTACGTTTGCATAATTTGGCGCAGCCTCTTCTAGTGTCTTCTCATCAGGTTCAACATGTAGGTTATCTAAATGGGCTTCCCATAATGAGAAGCAGTCACACTGTAACACTGATCTTCCCTGCAGCTTTTCAATCTTTCCTTGAAGTCTCAAAACCAAAGCATGCAGCTCCTCATTTTCTCCTTTGACTTCATCGTAACTCTTTTCCAGGCTGAGGAAGGTCTCAGTCACTTCCTCAACTTTCTTAAGCTCTTCCTGCAATCTGAATACTTCTGAAGTCAGTTCTTTGTTATTTTCTAATGCTTCATCATAGTGGGTCTCCATCACCCTCAGCTCTTCCTGAAGACAGTTGTTTTCTCTACTAGCATCTTCATATAACAACTTATACTTGGGAGACGCCTCAGGGATTCTCTCAAGCATCTTCAGTTTCTTTTTGAGCACTGAAACATCAAAAAGAAGGTCTTGTTTCTTTTCAGAAGCTCGGTCACATTCAGCACGTAAGATTGTTAGTTGTTTCTGAAGTTGACTAACCTGAATCTTTAGGTCCCAGGTCTCAGTTCTGGTCACTTCACTATTTTCAAGCTCGGAAAAACTCTCTATTGATGCTTCTGACTCTATTTTGGCCTCCTGTCTCTGAATAGAGCTTGTGTCTGTACTTTCCCGATCCCGGGTCTCATCGTCTTGTAAGTCACTTAGACGTCGTCTCTTGGTTACATCTTCTACTTGCTTCATTCTGTTTCTCAGTAAAAATGGCTCCGTTTGTTCCAGAGAATTTCCAAAAAATTCAATATTTGGTATATCTAAACAAGAAGATATTACTGTCCCTGGCTCTAATTTTTGCAGCCTTTGCTGCAACCTCGAAATTTCAGTAGCCATTTTCACATTTTCCTTTACTGCTTGTTCATGAGCTCTCTGCAGACTTAAGAGGACATCTCCATTTTCTTCTAACAGCTGCTCCCCTTGCTGCAGCAAGGACATGGTGCCATTTCCTTCGGCCTCCTCCACTCCCACTGCCTGGCAGCCGCTCTCAAGCCTGGATAGAGGAGATGCTGCCTGCTGCATGCCTTTTAATTTATTCTGAAGCCTGGAGATTTCCGTGCTCATCTCAACCCTCACTCGATCTGCTTTCTCACAGGTTGCTTTGTGGATGCTCTCCATGGCCAGTAACTTGGACATCATTTCCTGCCTCTCCTGCTCATGTTTCATCTCTAGCTTTTCAAACCGCCGGCTGGATGGCTGCTCTGAGGCCCCTGCCTGGCACAGAACCAGCTCATGGTCCTTCAGCTCTCTTTCGTGACAGCTCTGCAGCTGGTTGGACAGTAAGCTTTGCTTACTTTCAGAAACACTTTTGAGATCTGCCAGGTCTTTGAGGAGCTGCTCTTTCTCACCAACCATGCTGTCCAAATGTTCTTTGTATGTTTTCTCTAGCATCTCTCTCTCCTGGGTCAGAACCAGAGAAGCTGCTTTCTCTCTTCGAAGAGTCTCTTTAAGCTGCTCCTGGACTTCTGCACACTCCTGGGTGAGCTCGTCCTTTTCGAACTCCCACTGGGATTTCTCCTCACAGTGCTGTTCTAGAAGATCCTGCAGCTCTTGGTGGTAGTGCTCCTCCAAACGTTGTAGAGCGTCTTCATATCGCTCATTGACTTTCTGGCAATCAGCCTGAAATTGGGCTTCTATCTGACAGGTTCTTCTATTACACTCAGTTTCCATTTTTTCCCTAAATGTGGTCAACATACAACATTACTGAAATGGCTGCCAACTCCAGAAGCAAACAAAAAAAGTTTTACCATGCATATAAGAGGTTGCCAAGCAAACAATTTAAATACTTTCTAAAACTCTCTTCACATATATCTATGTGGTTCAAGTCTACTGGGAGTGGATCTCATTTGTGCGAGCTAAAACTGGCAGCCATAATTAACTTAGAAGACATATTCACTTATCTCTGCATTTAGGAGAAATATTTAGAAACCAAACTCTTTGTCATAGCCCAAATGTATACTTACTGAATTTTTAACCTAAAAATTAAACTTATATTTCACATTCAGTGATCAAACACATATTAGCCTAACCTCTAACCTTGGAGATATAAAAAATTTCTTAATTTTAATTAAGTGATTAAAGTAACAACATCTTACCTTTAAATAAGATAGGATATTAGTCATATACACACAATAATAATTTCATTTTGACTTTTCTTCTTACTTAATAATACTAAACATACTTGTTTAATAGCATTGAGTTAATTGAGTGTGAAGCACCAATGCCCTCAAATGTACCTGGGGTTCCATGCAGGGTTTGAATTGGTTCAAACCAGATCAGTCACAGCTGAAGCAGTGAAATGGAAACAGACCCCAGTTTGGGTGAATCAGAATAGTAACTGGAATGGAAATAACTGAAGCCCCAGAATGGGAGACTCAGAAGAGGCATAGTGAGTCCTTTCAGAAGCCTAATGTGGGAGACAGGATCATTGCCAGGACTACGGAAAGCTAAACACATTTAAAGCAGTGTGACCTTTAAGCGGGGCACTACCATTTATGTGTCTTCCAGTCAAGAGATTTGCTTACTATGCAACACACATGATGTTCTTGTTCTCTAAGAGGGAGATTCTGTTTCTAACAGGGTGTTGATATGTAATTTTTCCTGATACAGTTATTGCTGTAGTTCATCCATATTTTACAAATTTGGGTCCATTTCATTTTTGCTTTGTTGGCTCTGACTGAACTGAGAAGAACTGGTTCAAAGGCCTGATTTCGTGTGACAAAGGTATGCACAAACTGCTGTTTCACAGTTCTGGGAGGAAATGTAATTTTGCCCAGAACCATCTTACAAATAGCTTTTCTCAGAAAACAACATAACTGAATAGGAAGGAACCATGTTTGGAATCTTATCCTTATCTACAGCCTTATAAAATACTCTAAGTTACAATACAATATATGTTTTCCTCTTTCTATTTTTTAACAGCAACAACAAAAAATAATGTTCTAATAACCCCAAGGTAGGATTATGGCCAAGTAATGGCAAAGCATGTAGAAAAATAGTCTAGTTATTCAGTGAAATATTATGTCTCCTGATTTCTACAGGCTCCTTAGCTGACTGGAACTTATGGTGTCCTGAGATATAATGTTCCAGAATGTTCTACATCCCCTCATTTCTTACCTCCCCTCTTGAAGTTCCCTTTGGTGCTTTTCCAAGAGCTCTTTTTGCATCTCTTCTTTTTCAAGAGTGTGCTTCTCCACCAGGATTTTCAGCTGCTCCTGGTGAAACTGCTCTAGTTCCTGAGTTAAGTGCCTCACCTTCTCTTCTGCACAGACACCATTATGAATGAGTCCTTCCCTCTCTCGATTAAAGCGTTCCTCTACCTGCTCCAGCCTAGCCTTGAGCTCTGCTTCATGTTCCAGCCTTAGTTTTTCCTGCAAATGAGTCTGTTCTTCATCAAACTTCTTCTGCAGTTGGATTTTCTCCTCCCGGTGCCTGCAGGTGGTTTTGTGTTGTGTCTCCTTTAGCACTCCTTCCTGCTCCTGAAGTTGGGAAATTTTATTTCTAAGGCCACTGATTTGCTTTTCCAAAGTGTGTATTGCATCTTCATACATTTGCTTCATGTTCTCCTGCTCCTTATCACAGGTGACCTTGGTTTCGTCTAGCTGCTTTTCATAATGGCGCACCTAAAACAATGAAGTAAAACCACAAGATTGGTTAACCCAAGGTCATGGAAAGGAAAGTGACAGGAGCAGTAAATACTTTTTTCTGTAAGACATCTCTCAGTTTTCCGATTTGTTTTATAAATTAAATTAAGTAATACATATTTAAGTCAGGCATGGCTTGATTTCCTTTTAAACTGGGCTGAATTTTATTAATTTCTGAACAACTCTATAAAGAAGGGAGTAGACCTTCAAACAACCAAGAAGTAATAGTGTGAACAAAGATACAGTGGCAAATGAGGGCAGAGTTTGATGACGTTAACTCAAAGGGATGGTTAAAAAGAAATGTAAATTGATACACATAGTAGAGGATTTTCAACTCTAAGGTTCAGAACTTCTATCTAATGTAGTTACTAATGCTAGAGCGAAGAACTTTTTCGGGTATGACTCTAAAGTAGGAATGGGGAACATTTGGCCCGTGGGCCATATGTCCTGCCAAGGCAACCACGGTTCCAGCCATCACAATGGGGGTGAATTAATTAAATGTTTGACCAAATATAGCAGGCTATTTTTTTTTTAATGTTTTATTGTGAATTATATGATAGTTTACATGAGAGAACTTTAGTTTTACATTCATTCCATTGTATATCATCTCATTGCCATGGTTCCAATCCCCTCCATGCATCATCAACCAACCAAAGGGTATATCCTAGAAACCTGCCCCCTATACATTCCCCCTGCTCCAGTTTTCGGCCCACAGTCCCTTTCCCTCTCTGGATCCAAAGTCCCCAGCTGCTTCATCACTAGCAGGCTAATTTTTAAATTGATAATTTTGTATGGCCCATGAATGATGTCATAATTTTGGTAGAAAAGGGTTCCCCACCACTGCTCTAAAGCATCTACTTAGATGCAGGCTTGAGATTATGATTTTTTTTTTTTCAAACAGGTTAGAAATAATGATAATATTTCTAAGCTTATAGCTTCACTGTGGCCAGAGCTGAAAATACTACATATTGGACAAACTCTCTCCCAGGAGAACAATGCTTCTTTCTTAGCCTATGAGATCAGTCTGCGGAAGTGGGTTTTGGACAACCACTAGACACAATGGGGACTCCTGATGTGCTGCTATAAGATAAGCACTGGATTGCTAACCACAAGGTTGGCGGTTTAAACTCATCAGCCGCCCCTTGGAAATCCTATACAGGTCGCTATAAGTTGAAACTGACTTGATGGCACTTAACAAGATACAATGGAGCCCTCTGTGGTGCTGTAGGATAAGCACTGCAATGCTACCTGAAAGGCTGATGGTTCAAACCCACCTGCCACTCCTTGGAAACCCTATACAGTGTCATTATGAGTCGGAACTGATTCAAAGGCACTTAACAACAACAACTAGGCACAATAGGAAATGCAAAAAAATGTGAGAAATAAAGAACTGGTATGCCCCAAATACAAAAGTCTGTTCAGGACCAAAGAAATTAGAGAATTAGATTGATAAGAACGACTTACTTTATCTTCAAGCTCTTGTCTTAGGCAACACAAATCCCTGTGATGTTGTTCTTTCATCTGCTCCATGACCAGCTCCGCCTCAATGCTCATATTCAGTGGATTACACAATTCAGAACCAAGCCCTGAAAACACATGGGACCCATTGACCAAGTGGCAGACTCTTCAAATAACACAATTTGGCATCTGAGGGATAGACATCCAGTTTAACTAAGGAAGAATTTTCAGCCTAAATCACCCCAGATGTAATCTACTAAGAAACCCCTTAAGCCAAGAGAAGTTCTATCCATTCTCAAGCATTATGAAAAAACAAAAACAAAAAAACAAAAAACTTCGCTTTTGAGTTGTATCTAAGCCATGGCTACTCATGTCACAGAACAGAACTGCTCCACAGGCTTTTACTGTTGCTGTTGTTTTTGACTATAATTTTTAGGTAGATAGGTTCAAACCATAGCAAACCTTTAGATTAATGTTGTTGTTGTTGTTAAGTGCCATCGAGTTGGTTCCGACCCAGAGCGACCCTGTACAGGGTTTCCGAGGGTATAAATTTTTACAGGAGTAGAAAGCCTCATCTTTCTCCCGCGGAGCAGCTGATAGTTTCGAACCACTGACCTTAAGGTCTGCAGCCTGATTCGTAACCACTACGCTACCAGAGCTCCTTAATAGTTGAGTGCAAACCATTTGTACCATTCAGAGACTTCCTCAAGCATTAAAGCAAACAAAAGAAATGAAGCTGAATACTTCCTTCCATGTACAGGCAGCTTCCCAAACCCTAACAAAAATCCCTCCTTTTAAACAGTAGGTAAGTGGAAGTAGGTGTGGAAATTGCTACTTGAAGATTGTTGCTGTTGCTAACGGCTGTCAAGTGGGCTCCGAATCATAGCAACCCTGAATAGAGTTTCCAAGGAGCAGCTAGTTGTTTGAAGTGCTGACCTTCTGTTTAGCAGTTCAATACTTATCCTATAGTGCCACACCAAGATTCTCAAAGGGCAACAGTGGGCTACGTGGACCAGAAAGGTGACGTCCTACAAATGAAAATGCTGCAGGGTGAGGTAGTTTGGTCAAACCAACCCATCCAACAGATACTGAGTGACAAGTTAGCAGAGGGGCAGTGGGTCAGGGGAATGAATGGCCAGCAGCATACTTGCTGCTCTGTCTTGAGGAGTGAACATAATGAGTCAAGATATCCAATGCTTTACTCAATATTACAGCATTGTAGTATGGATTTCCAAGGATGTAGGTGAAACAACATCTTAAATTATCAGCTAAAAAGTAGAGCATAAGTTAAGGACTTGAATATAGGTGGTTTGGGGTAACATTTTTCAGTTCATCCTTATGAGTTCACCTCTGTAAGGACTCATGAAGGACATGGGATTGAAATGTAAAGCACATGTTGGGAGGCTGACCTAATATATAAACAAAATAATTATGTCTCATACTATGTAGAAATTGTTCAGGTGGGGGAGGGGGAAGGGCTTTTTGTGTGTTGGGAATACTTTCATATGGGAGAAAAGGACTTTTCTTGGCTAGGTCCAACAGCTCCAATTGGCAGCCTTGCTCTACCTCTCTCTCCATGTATCATGGTACATACCCAACTAAGAAATGACACCTGTGCTGTGAGCCATTCAAGATGGTGCCGCTTCATGTACACATGCAGAATACCCTAACACTTGGTCATTTTTGGATGTATCATCAGGTGTGCTCAACCCTTAGACTGCAATAAGTGAGCCAAGAGTCAGATAAAATGTTTTAGTGTTTCTTTTTCTCCCCTCCTCAATCCCTTATTTACTTTAGAGTAAGAAAGGGAGGGGAGGAATAGATAACCCTTGCAAAGATTTATACTTCTATCCCAAGTAGCAGCAGAGACAACGATTTGTCACAGAAAAATTGTTTATGAGCCCTAATTAGGGTTTCTGTGATTGCAATTCAACCCACCTGAGAAAAACTGCAGGCTACTAGGAGGGAGAAAAGGATTGCTAGTGAATGGAGGAGGGGATCCCAAACAACCATGCCTTCTGACCTCACCAATTAAATTCTTCCTCAAAGGCAAAGGCAGCCAACCCCTAGTTATCTTATTTGTTGTTTTGCAGAAGCGGCACAGATAGGATAACACAACTAGCATAAAAAAAAAAAAGTTATGAATTCTGTGGCTTCTGGCTGGCTTACTCTCCAAAACCATTTTCATACCAGTTAGATACTGTCTGAAAAATAGAGGATTCAGCAAAAGCTCATGTCTGAATTCGAACACTTTAAAGACCTGGATTCTCAGATATGTGGTTAGTGTCTGTTTTGTTTTTGTTTTTTAAACAAAAAACAAAACAGAGCAAACAGTCTTGTGGTGTGATTTTTTCCCATTCCTTTGTTGATACATATCAGAATCAAATGGAACTATTCTATAAAGACTTCAAGGACAAACTAAAAACCAGACCACAAGGGAAACAGCTCAAGAAAATACAACTGCCAAATTCTTTTTTTTTCTCCCCCGACTTGCCAAAAATTTGCAATTTTATATTCAACCATGATTCTAAAAGCCAAGGTTAAAGGCAGAAACTCTGGAAAGGTGGCTGTGTCTGAATATGTTTACCCTGGTCGAGTTCAATGCCACCACTGCTACTATCAAGCTCTTCTGACAGGGCCTTCTTCAAGGGAAGTCTGAACACTTTGCCTTGTGCACGATATTCTTCTAGCTCCGACTGGAGTTCATCCACTTGGTCTTGTAACACCTGGGATTGAAAAACCAATATAGGTCTTACATATGACATCAGAAGCACAAGCAACAAAAGAAAAATTACTAGACACAATCAAAATGAAAAACTTCTGTGCCGCAAAGGACACCATCCATTTATATGAAATGTCTAGAAAAGGCAAATCTAGAGAGCCACTAGTGTGTGTGGGTAAGATTATAGCTGCAGTAGAGGAGTTACTTTTTGGGTCATGAAAACATTCTAAAATTGATTGTGGTGATGGTTGCATAACTCTGTGAATATGAGGGAAGTTCAAAATGTCATGGAAAAAATATTTTAATTCCATTTTCCCATGACTTTTTGATGCCCCTTGTTAAGACAGTGACTTGTATACGCTAAATGTCTGAATTGTACAGTATGCACAGGATGAAAAAAATAATTGGACAGATTTGGGATTCTTTTTTGTAGAGCTGACAGATTTTGAAGATAAATTCATTAAATTAGAGGCCATTTAGAGAAAACACTTCTAACTGATTAGAGCCACAACTTACTTGTAAAAGCAGTAGAAATGTTTACTTTCCTTCCTCAAAGTGCATGCATGTATTTGTTGTGAAAGTAGGCTGTGAGCAGCCATGTAAAAACTGTTTTCCTCATCTCTGCACATTTACAATTTTTATCTACAGCAGCTAGGATTCAGTTATACTTACCCTGTTAAAAGAAGTGTTTGCCATTTCAGAAAAAAAACAAAAAAACCCTAATTTGGGGAATTATAAATGCCAATTAAAAATGAAAGATTCTTGCAATTGACAAGGATGTTTTTGTCCCTCTTGGTAGGCATTTACTACCTACCTTAAGACTAGGTGGGTAGTTTCTGTTTCACTTGCATTTTGTAAATAAAGGAATGGGTTATGGGTTGTTGTTTTTTTCTGGGGACGGGGGGCACCCAACACAGGATAAAGGCTAATTCTGAAATAATCCCGTTAACATGACCACAAAATATTAACTTGCGGTAGAACCATATTTTCCTGTAAGCACTAGCAATTTCTGATTTAGATAAAGATGGCTTAAATGCAGTTTGCATGATTCCCTAGGAGTTCAGGATATTGAATAAAAATGTTAATAGCTAATGTCTGCATAAGTGCTTACTATGGCTCTGGCTCTGTTTGTTGTAAGCACTTTACCTATAGTCACACACTGCACATCTTCCCAACAACCCTATTCAATGGGTACTCTTATTTTCGTGATTTTATAGATAAGGAAAAGAGGCACACACAGATTAAGTGATTTGCATAAGGTACACAGCTGGTAAATGGTGGTGACAGGATTTGAACCTAGGCACTGCTCCATTCGCCAAGTTCTAGTCAGCCACTTACCCTGCACTGCAGCTCATATTCGTTTCTCATCTGTGCCAGTCTCTCTTCTTGCAGAAAAAATTCAGCACTGCTGGGATCAAGGTCACCAAACTAGAAAAAAAAAAAAAAGACAAGGATGCTTCTTTTCTCGAAGGTCTTTTATTGACCTGTAACATATCAAAGGCCCCCATTTCTGATGTTTACCCAGTCACATGAGATGTAACACTTCTGCAGAAAAACCATCAAATGTATAACATCTGAGAGTGACATGCTCATCTAAGTCAGGGAGCACAAGGCTGGCATGTTTCAGTGTCATGAAGTTGTTTCCCTCAAAGTCTATCTACTAAATGACATCCCTGCAGAAAATACAGCTTCCTTTAGTCATTTAACAAATTCCCTACTGAAAACTTCCTTCTATACTTTGGCCTGCACATCAGGAAATCAGATTTAAACAGATTTACCTTTTCTGCTAACACACTGTCCAAATTTCGCTGTAGTTTGTTTGTGAGATTTTCATACTCTGCCAACTTCTCTGCATTTTCCAGAAGCTCCTTTTCTAGACGGCCATTTTCCTAAAGAAATTTTGGGAAATTAAATGTGACACAGAGTTTAAAAACAAAAACATAAATCAGTGCTCTAGATTGTGAAATTTTGCCTATCTTGAAGAGTTCCAATGACTTAGGATACAAAGGTAAATAAAAAATTTGGCTTCTATCTGATAACTCAAAAATTTGACTTGTTTTTTGATCCTGTCAAATTGTGCTGTTGTCCATTAGCAGTCCCATGTAGCTACTGAGTACTTGAAATACATTTAGGACAAAGTGGGACATGCTGTAAATGAAAACACACACTCAACTTCGAAGAATTAAAAAAGAAAACAATAAAATGTTTCAATAATTTCTGTATACAGTCTTGATTACAGATTAAAATGATAATATTTTGGAGATACTGGGTAAGAGAAATTATTTGAAGTTAATTTGACCTGTTTTTACCTATATAATGTAGTTATCTCAAATCTGAGATCACATATATAGTTTACATTGTATTTCTATGGAACAGCATTGCAGTAAACATCTAATGACAACAGAAACATTCTCAATGTATCATCAATGGAAACTGAATTACAAAATGCCTTGTTCATTTGACAGCAAAAGAGAACTCAGAAAAACGATAAAAAGCTGAATAACAATAGTTTTCATTTAATGACATTATAGTTTGGTTTATGCTCATTTTATCAATTTATATTGGTTTTAAATATGTAAAAGCTACACTGTAAACTTCATAATTTATATTTGCTTACTTTTTTTAAATAACACAGCTACTGAAAGTTCACAAAGTGTTTTTCTTTGTTTTTTTTCATTTAAAGAATGTACATTTATGAGGCATCTTCAAATGTTAATGGAAAAATTCCATTATCTTTCAATTACAGTTTTTGAAGCTCTCTCATATAGGGCTTTATAGGGCTTTTTAGTATGATTTCCCCTCACATTTTTTTTGAAACAACACAGACATGCCAATTCTTTGACATATTTCCTACTCGAATGTTACAGGATGACTGGAAGAACATTTTTTTTCAAAGTATATTTTGCCAAAAGAACATAAAGCCAGTATACTTTTAATACATTCTCATTCACACCCACACCCAGCAATATGGAGTGAAAAAGAATGCATTAGAAACATTAAAGGAAAGGAAAAAAAAGCTGTCTTCCTCACAAATGCCAATTCTATACCTCTAAATCATTCAAAGCATGTCTACATTGAGATATTGAAACAATAAGAGACAATCTCTGTACTGGATACTGTGCAGACACTCTGGAAACAGACACATCAGGCATTGTTACCAACCATAAGGAACAAACAGTCTGGATATGGGGAGAGAGACAGCTGTGGATACAACCATCAATAACACAACAGGAAATGCACTGGTAACTTGGTCTGCAATGGTGGTCAAAGGAGTGAAGAAGTTTAATCGTGCCCTGCCCACTGTGGATTCGACTGCTAATAGGAGGTGCACTGGGATTGAGGTACAGAAACTAGGAATTGCTGGCAGGAGCTGAGGTTAGACAGGAATGATGATGAGCCCCCTTTCGGAGATCTTCAGTACTAATATGTTTTTATGACCATGATTATATATTTGTTTTTCAGCAAGGCGCCTCTGGTGGTCATGTTGTCATTGTTGTTAGTTACTTTTGAATTGGTTCCAACTCATGGAGAAACCATGTATGCAGAGTAGACTGTTCCATAGGATTTTCAAGACCGTGACTTTTTGGAAGCAAACTGTAAGGTTTTACATCTAGCAAAGTACTATTAGGTTGACTGGAACCACCACTTGTTTAGCTAGTAGTCAAATTCTTAACCCTAGGACACCTGAGTAGCCATACAGAGGTTGTCTGTCCAAAGCAAGGATGGATGGCCTTAACGACTGGTCAGGATACACATTAGTCAGTTGGGAAATTATGATGAATTCTGAACCTATTTCAGAAGCTGTGAAAATGGGGGGAAAGGGGATAAAGCTGAGAGGCATCTCTGAGCACCATGGGACTTAGAGTCTGATTAGTGATGAGTGAGGATGACTGAGGATTTTGGTTTGTGACATACAGCACATGGCAAAGATATAGACTAGGAAGAAAAGTTAGGAAAGCGAGAAGCTTGGCAGTTGTTGCTAAGTGCTGATGAGCTGGTTTCAACTCATAGTGACCCTGTATAGGGTTTCCGAGCATTTGAACTGCCAACCTTGAGGTTAGCAGTCCAGCGTTTATCTTACATCACCATACCAAGATCCCAGTTTGGTCATTTGGGAGAGAGAATTTACTAAATCTTTGATGTGTAGAGTTCCAAGAACCTTTCATAACAGCAACAGAAATGGACATTTCCTATTTTTGATTAATTTCCAGATACCATGTATGTATCGTCTCAATCCCTATTATCAACCCTACAGGGTAATCATTATCACTGTAACCATTCTGTATATTAGCGAACAGGTTTGGAAAACTTGCTCAGGGTTTCACAATAAGTGGTAGTGCTCAGACTTGAAACAGGCAGTCTGACTCCAGAGTCCCAATCAATCTCTAGAATTTACTATACCATATTATCTGGCACCAGAGTCCAGTAAAGAGAAGGGCTATTCCCTCTCTGAGGTAGGAGGAAGGGAGGGGAGGAAACATCAGGGGACAGGCTCATTGGGAGGCAGAAAGAAGCAGAGCTGATGGTTTCTGTGTGGCTGGAAGTGAAACCATCTTCTAAGACTAGTGGCAGGGAAGGGGGCCTCTAGAGGTGCTGAAACAGCAGCTGTGGGGAATGGAGAGAGTGCCACCAGGTACCAAACAGCCCTGAAGACCCAGGCAACTTCAGAGGTAAAAATAACAAGACGTTCTAATCAGTGCTGTTGGCAAACCAGAAACCTGGATACCCTTAAAAATCCAGATCCAAGCAGATGCCTTGTCTGGGTTATAGTCCAGCTGAGCAATTTATGGGAGTCCTTGGAATGAGCTCATGCAGATCTGCTTTTGTTTTCCACATATTCCGGCAGGGACACAGATGATAGAACTAACAGGACTGTTACCTTTAAAGAGAGGGCAAGGCGATCCCGGATGAAGTTTTCTTCTGTTTTTGCCTTTTCAATTTCTTGTTCAAGTTCCAAACGCTGCTTGCCCACCTGTTGCAGGATCTGCTCTCTCTCCTTTATGAGTTCATTTTTTAAGGCAGCTGTGCGCTCCTTATACTCTTCATCCAGTTTCCTGTGGAAAGGAAAGACCAACAAACTGCTGTAAGTTCCCTCTGAGGCCTATAGGAGGCTGCACCAAAAATGGAAACAAATGGAAAGGATCTTGAAAACTTATTGATCATGTCCTACTTTCTGTTAGGCTTGGCCAGACCAAAAACACTGTTGTCAGGTGTAGCCAAACAGAACAGTTCTCTCCGCACTGTTCTCCAACCACAGCTGCAGACTGCCCTAGGCCAAGAGGTGAGAAAGGAAGCCCTTAGCCCTACCAGTCCCACCTGAGGTTGTATTCATTTCGCCGCTCTATGGCCGCATGGTGATCGTCCACCTCTGAGGCCATTAGAGACTTGAGTTTCTCAGCCTTGTCCAGATCCGACCGTAGTTTCTCTTTTTCTCTAGCCACTTGATCAACTCGTTCTCTAGAATCAGAAACAAACTGAGTTAAAGGAAGGCTGTTTCTAAGCAACATGTAGATCAAAAAAGCTCTCATCTGACTTGCCAAGACAACCAAAATCCTCCCAAAACAACAGCTACAAACAACACCCAAAAGGCATTCCACAGTTCCCTTCAAAAGCCTACATGCAAATCTAAGCTCGACCTCATTTTCCTACACTTTAAGAAGGGTTTATGCAGTAATTAGATGACAGGAAATTAGCCATATTTGCATATAGGATGGAAGAATGTCACACACATGGAACTGAAATGCTGGACAAGTAGGAAAGGGAATGGAGCAGGCGAACCTTCTGCTCAACTCACAGCAAATGCCGGATCTCAGCCTTAAAGCTGGCCAGAGCTGCGTGGTGAATGCTGTTCTTGGTGACCAAAAGTTCATTTTCAAAAGCCAGCGTCAATTCTGTCAAGTTAACATTTCCATCAAGACTGAAATCCAAAGCCTAGAAATTAAAGCCAGGTGTAAGTTCAAGACAATCACAAGTTCTATCCTCTTAAAGCAGAAAATGGAGTCCTGGTGTGGGATAAGCACTGAGCTGCTAACCACTCCTTGGAAACCCTATACAGGGTCACTAGGAGTCAGAATTGACTTGGCACTTAACAACAAAGCAGAAAATGGGAAGGTCATAGAAACTCAGATAACTGAATTTATGACTTAGAAATTGGATGACTATATTTTAGTGATTGCATAAGACCACTCTTCATTCTAGAACATAAATACGTTCTCACTAAGGAGTCTTGGTGTGGCGCATAGGATAAACACTAGCCTGAAAGTTTGATTTGAACCAGGTCAGGGGTTCAAACTCACCAGCAGTTCAAACTCACCAGCCTTTCCTACAGGGTCGCTATGAGTTGGAACTCCACGACATTTAACAAACAACAAGGAGACATAACTTGCTGATTTGTATATTTGTTAAAAATATCTGGCATTATAAACAAACTCCAAGGGACAATTCTAAATCTTCACCAACCAGAGATGAAACCAGAGCCTTTCTCTTGTCAATAATTTGGGGTTTAATAACATAGAAAACAGTTTGCAACTGACTCCTGGTTAAAGGAGGTAAGAAAAGTTGTCTCATCTCTGAAATCATTAAGGAAAAATCAACTCAAATCAAATCACAGACTTTAAAAAGAAATAGAACTCTTCCCTGATTTGTCACTGTACAACTTTAGATGCCACACCTTCAGGATCTCCTGGCTGTTTTCAATGCCCTCTTCCTGCCAGGTGTCAAGGATTCTCTCCACAGACGCATATCCCATCCCATCATCCAAGCAGGAAAAGACCCGAAAGCCAATGGTACTTGTCATCACTGACAAGGTTGTGGTACGTCGTCCACTTTCATCGAAAGACTGGAAGAAGAAAGAGCCTAGGTCAGCTTAATGCCAGGCATTTTAACAAGTTATTGGTTGAGAGTGGAATGGGTCAGTCACAACCACAATGAGCAGAAAGCATGTTACTCTAATATACTGCTGCTAGAAAAAGGAGTCATGAAGCCCCATTTCATGTCTTCTAAATGAGCCAGAATATAAAGCTTATCAAAAACAACTGGCTTGGTTGAGAGTCCTTTGACATAGATGAAATTGTGTCTCTACTTATCATCAGGATTCTTCTAACCCATTCTTAGCTGACACTAAGAGACATAATTAGTGGATTCCCCACTGTAATTTATGGTCATTTCTCAAATCCAGCTTTTCTTTCTCAGTGGTATAGTCTCCCCTCCTCCATCGATATTCTTTCCCCCCCTCCCTCTCTCTATTTTAGTATTTTTCTTCAGATAATAGGTTAATTCATTGACAATTATTCAAATGGGTTCTAACTTCTATTCACAAAGAAACCACCTCCTATTATTTCTTACCTGCATGGAAAGGTGCCTTTTCAATTGTCTATATGGAGTAGACGCTGACGGTGTGAGGGACTTTCCATTTTTGAACAAGCCATAGAAAAAATCTTCTACACTCATTGTACCATCAGGATCAAGATTATGGAAGACATCCTCAAGTATCTAAAGAAGGGTAACCACATATCTTAAATACTTCATCAAAAGAACTCAAAGCTACAAGTATACATCTGGTCAATAGAAACCAGCACCACTGTTGAGCCCAAGACTTCAGAAAAAACAAAAAATTATGTCCCTTCACTCTCATTTCATTGAATTTAATTCCCTTTCCAGTAATTACATGCCCTCCTCATTTACACAAACTAAATAAAAATCAGTCTTCACCATCTTCAGAATCTTATGCAATATAGAAATTAATATTTCTCTTTATGCCCACTTTTATGACAGGTCATTAAAAGGGTTAAGTAAAAAAGTATTGCTACTAGAGTTGTAGTTCATACATGCATGGGTTTCTTTCTAACAACACATGTTTAAATATGTCTCTAGGATCGGTGGATGGTTATAGAAAATTCTCTCAGTAATTTGCTTGTCTTAGTCTCATTAAAATTCTTTAAAAAAGTCCAATCAGGATAGTGGCTTGCAAGGGGATCTATTGGGCCAGTTAAATTCAAGGCAGAGATGTCAGCTCAAAAGAGTATGGAGTTGCTGTTAAGTGCTATCGAGTTGGTATTGACTCATAGTGACCTTATGCACAGCAGAACGAAACACTGCCTGATCCTGGGCCAACCACACTATTGTTGCCATGCTTGAGCCCA